CGGCTACTCTTTTGAGGCTCGCCACCTCTTGCCTCAATTCGACAGACTTACTCGAGCTAGAACCTGCCTGAGCTTTTACCATTCGTTGATAAGTTGACCGAAGATCGTCAAAGTCTAGCCGAAGTTGCTTCTCCACTTTTTCTATTCGATCTGTTCTACTCTTCTGAATGTCGATCTCCAATCCCTTTTGATACACTTCATCTTCCAGTTTCTGCAAAGTCATTCTCCATTGTCTCCGTTCTGCTTCGAAATCGCGCTTGGCTAACTCTAATGGAGATGGCACCACTCTCAATTGTTCCTCCACCGGCTGAATATTTTCAGGATTCACTATCGGGATGTTGTCGTTTACTCGACCGCTTCTCCACTGCTCGTACTCTTGAGATAACTCGAGATCATAAGTGAACAGATTCACACGACGAGTATGCTTCCAAGCCTCAGCAACCCCTTTAACTTTACCCTTATACTGATCTCCTTTGAATGCAAAATCCGATCCTACCAAGTCCCACGTGGCTGGGATGAACTGCCTCGATCCATACTGTCTAGAGAAACTAGTAGCGGTGCATACCCAACAGAACCCCATATACCTGGCAAAGGAACCCAATCTCGCTCTCCACATCGGTAAAGTATATCCGAAGAGGTATTCCACGAAGCTCCCCACAAAATATCTCCATCTCTGATATCCTTGAAGATGACCATCCATTTTTCTTCGGTAAAACCCCCAGGCCACTCTTTAGAAAGAAAATCCTTCAAAGGTGAGAAACCGTCTAGAAATACTCGTCCTGGTGCCCTTTCAACATGTTTGAAATGACTCAGCATCCACACTAGCAGCAAAGGCGCACATCCTATAAAGCGTCCTTCTCCCTCACACCTACAAGAACTCAAAGACCGGAACGTCTCAACTAGAATAGCTGGAACAGGATCCACGCGCTTGTCTAATCTTTCAAACAGGTCAACGACTGATACGTCTACATATCCTAGCACTTTTGGAAAAATAACGAGCCCATAAATCCCTAAAGCAAACAAGTTAAGCTTCTTTCTCTTATCAGGATGATGAGCAATTACTTCTTTCAGAGCAGCCCAAGAGATGCACTCACTGTCTCCCTTCTTCTTAATGTTTCTGACTACCCAATCTTCACTCATTCCGGTCATCAATAGTAATTTCTTCTTAAATGAAGGAGTGACTGGCAGCTTGGTATATATTCTATCCATTTGGGACCTCGGACAACGGACCAAAGCTTGATACTCCTCTATTGTTGGTGTCAGGTTTACTCTACCAAATGTGAAACAGCTATAAGCCGGGTTCCAGAACTGCGCCAATGCTCTAAACAGATTTCGGTCAATAGGAACATCCAGAAGATAAGGAATGTCGTCGTACAACTGATAAAAATATCTCCTTATCGGCTGCTTCCCATCTTCCCCATATCTCTCTTAGCTCACTCAGATCATTCTGACGTACGTTGATGTGAGTGTAACCAAATAACTCTGACACATATCCAGGCATCACGCTGTCTCCATTGGTCAATTGGGACTGTTCCGACCACCTCAGAACATCTGCATTGTCCTCAACCTCTTTCTGAACCGTTCGTTCCATATTACTGGCCTTCTATATGGACATCGACCCCTAATCAACACCATGTAATGGACAGTGCAATGCAAAACAGAAAAAAACAAGGCAAAAACAACAAAAGGTCGGTTAGTAAACATGAAGCAATTAAGTCAGGATAATAATTTGTTCAAAAATCCTACCCACATATGTTGACTACCCCATCATGCTTTATCAGATCCTACCCAACATGATATCTACCCCCATGCTTTGTTATCCACAAAAAGAAATCCTAACCGCATGATATCTAATTCGCATGCTTATTCAAAAAAAATAAACCTAACCGCATGATATCTAGTTCGCATGCTTGTTCAAAAAATGAAAATAAATGGCTCAAAAAAGCTTTTCCTTGTGTACCCTCCTCACGGGATTCTTAAGGTTCGGGTTTGGTTCAACCTAAGTTCAGGCTCTACGTTCACTATATGCCGGGTTAGGTTCTAAAGTAATAGGTTCTCGAATTGTCCTTGTCGATGCCCCCTTGGGCTACCGAACCCTTAATCCTGGCCCATCACAGGCTTTAGGGGATCGAGTTCAATTTCGAGGGAACACACCTCCTTATGTCCATGCGGAGGTGATTACCATCACGAGGACCATAAGGCGTGAGCTCCAGGAGCGATCCACTATCCCATGCGGAGGTGAAAACCACACGAGGGCATAGTCTCTCACTCCTACTTAAATAGGACGGAGCGGAGTTTTAGCTCCTGTTATGATAATGCAGCTGTGTGAGGAAAAGCGAAAAAACAATCAATAAAAACACTCAAAATCAATTCCTAAAACAAACAATTATTCTGAAACCATTAGCAAACAGATTAGTACAACTATTTAATTGTTAATCGAATTAAATTTAAAAAAATCAAAATACAAACAAAACACAAGGAATCAAAAATCAAATTAAAACGAATTTGTAATTTTCAATTGCAAAGACAATTAATTAATCGACTATCGGCCTGACTCTCTACAAAAAAAATCTCCAGCTGAGTCGCCAAGCTGTCGAAACGATTTTTTCTAAAAGGTGAAAATGTGAGATTTTGAAAACCACATTAATTTATCTTGTTCAATCGATTTAAAAAAAAACAAATGCGATTTTTAAAAACTCTCGTTTCGAAAATTCTGGATTTTCTTTACGATCGAAAAAATACGGTTCAAAGAGTCGCCACCAATCTTTAATTAGGGTGTGATTGGGCACCCAAAATTATTTGTTATTTTAAATAAAAATTAATTTTAATTAAAACAACAAGTTAAGGTATGCGTTACCAAAATCCGAGTTCGGGAGTCGGTTACGTGCAGGGAAGGATTAGCACCCCCACAACGCCCTAAAACGGTACCTAGTCGATTAATTAATATCTTTGCATTGAACTTTACAAATTCGAACTTAATTTGATTTTTGATCCCATAAAACAACGATGTAAATTTAAAAACATTCAAAAGCACTCAAATAAATTAATTTAAAATTACCGAGTCGTTTTAGAAAGATAAAGAATGTTCGATTATTTACAAATATCGAGATCAGATCTTAAAGATATAACAACCTTTTCTCGATATATTTAAATAAACGAACATTTCTTTTTCTCTCGTTTCCAAATTTTAGGGGACGAATCAATTTTTTGGTTTCACTTTCGGGATACACTTTTATTTTAAAATCATTAAAAGCAGACCTCAAATCAGTTATGACGGCCCACTTCAACAATTTTAAATTAAAAGGGTATTACCCTTAGTCCGATTATGTAATAGGTCGAGTTATGCGCGTGAGGCTATCATGCAAATTATGCAAAATAATGTCATGTAAAAAAATTAAATATACAACATTAAAAAAAATAATAAAAAAATAACATACAACGTGATATGCAAAAAAAAAAATATATACATACATTTTAAAATTAAAAATTATAAATTATGCACATTAACATATTATACAAATGTGACTTAAACACAAAAACGAAAACATGACATGCTAAACTATAAATTTAAAAAATATATATACATTTTTAAAAATGACTACATTTAAATATACAAAATTACACATACGAATTAAAAATTAAAACATAGACTTAAATAAAAACAAACATAAATAACAAGGGATCTACACCTAAATGACCCAATAAAACTACAACTAAAATTAAAAATGAGAAAATATCTAAATCAGGGCCAACACAAAGGATTAAATTCAGAAGCAGTCCTAAAGGTGACTAAAGTGTAAAATAATATTAAAAATTTGGAGACTAAAACCTGATTTTACCAAGCAAATTTGATGGCCAAAAAGTAATTAACTCAAATACTTACAATGACTAAATCCTAATTTAACCAAAAACTTTATTATGCAACATAACTTAAAAACCTAAGCTAATGCTTCAACACCATCAGCCGCTCTCTCTTCTCTACTCCATCTCTTCCCTTCTCATTCTCTCATACCCCTCGATAGTTGAACCGAGAGCCTCCATCGACTGCAATCGCACTTCACTTCAACCGACGAGCAACCCAACGACGAAAGAAGCTTAACCACTTCGGTTTTCCATGTCCCAAAAGAACCCACTCTCAACCGAGGACTTTGGTATACCCCTAACCTTCACGATCGAGAAAATCATTCCGGTGACCACCCTCAACGGTGACTATCTACTTCTCCGGCGATGGACTCAACTTCTCTTCCTAACTTCCTATACATCCCTCAAAAACCATAAGCCCTCTCTTCCAAGCCCCCCACCGACGAAAGAAAATGAAGAAGAAAGGTAAATTTCATTTGAGGTTTTCATTTCTATAGACAAGTTCAATCTTACACTGTAAAATGTTTGTTTGTTTTTACTTATGAATCTCTCAAATCGAATCAAAGAAGCTAATTAACAAGTTTCTACCCTAAAGACACAAACATAGCATTGGAAATGACATTAATCTAAGGTAAATAAACCACTGCTCCTTTATGCTTCTGTTTTGGTCCTAATTCGAAACATGTACACACACAAGAACATTATGAAAGCAATGGAAAATGAAAGTAAAATAAATACCCTTTATAACTCTGTGTATTGCTTTGGCTTGATGAAATGAAGGAACTCCTCTGTTTCCTTTGATAATCAAAATCCACGGAAAAATCAGTACAATGTTTTTCGTTTCTGCTATCTAATTTCTGTCCAGAGACACCCTGGAGACCCCCCCCTTTCTTTCCTGATCTCCCTCTCTATTTACAGTTTATTTCCCCCTACGTAAAAACTGTACATTTCAGTTTTTATTACCCACGATGAAAAAATAAAGAAAATGGCATCCACGTTTCTTTTCTGGTTTTTAACCCCCAGAACTGTTTTCATTTGTAAGTGATATGGGCCCCGGACAAATCAAACATCTACAATGTTAATGCCTGTGTATCTCATTTACTTCACAACTTAGTTTAATTTTCACTTTTCTGAAACAGGTTCCCTACTTTGAATAGATGGATACAAATGCAAACTAATCTTTATAGGGTATCAGAGTTTGCTGTGACAGCTATGCAAAGTGCTGATGATGACAATGTTAAACCTGAAACAAGAACTGTTGTTAAGAGAATGCGGGAATCTGACAGTGACACCGAGTCTGAAATTGATAAAAGTGTTGGTAATTCTATCATGACGACATCCTTTGACCTCAACGTTAAAGATAACACTTCTCCAGACCCATGGCATGATTGCATAAAACCTGAAACAGCTGAAATTGATATTACAATTTTTCTTTATTTTGGTTTAGAGAATGAAGATCCATATGAGAAAGCTGTGGAACGGTAATATCCTTTTGTCTATGTATTTTGTTCCAATTTGTGACAGTTAATATGTTGCTTTTCAGCTCCATGTAATTGTTAACTTTTACAATTACCACCATGAGGTTTCAGTTTTGGCACTGACTTCTTACTTTTGGAGCAAAAATTTGAGCTACCTGTGGTTATAAATAATATTTTTCACTTGCTGTGATTGGTGTGTCATACTACTTATCATTTTGTTCTCTTTCTTAGGTTGATTGATGAAGGAAAACTAATGGATGCTCTTGCACTCTGTGATCGATTTCTACGTAATGGAGCCTCAGACCGGTTGCTTCAACTCCTAATTGAGCGCGGAGAAGTAAGTCATCCAACCTCTGAACAATCACAGGGTTATGGGGGACATGGCATCTGGAGTAATAGTTGGCGTATTGTCTGCGGTTGAAGGACAAACAACTGGCAGCTAGACTTGCCCTCAAGTATGTCAAAATCGGAGTAAAATCTTATTATTTTGTATAGGAAACTCATACATTTAAATATACAAAATATTGTTTTATCTTAGGAAGCTTCTAAACTAGGTAAGAGATTGATCCTAGGACTAATTATAATCCCTTAGGGTGCGTTTGGTTCACGGAATGTAAGATTACCAGTGGGAATAAAAGATTACCAGGGAATAGGATTACTGGGAATATTATATTTTGTGTTAGGTTGGTTTAGCAGGAATGTAAGATTATTGTGTTTGGTTAAAGGAATAAAATATTGTTGGAATGTATATTTGACCAAATTGTCATTATATATTTGTATAATATTACAAATTGTAAAATATTTATATATTTTCTTTAAAAAATTAAATTCATAATATTTATATAATTTTTTTACAAAATTAAAAATATAAAAAAGTTTAATGAAAGGGTAAAAGTTTTTTTAACTCCTGAACTTCATATAAAATTTTAATTATAAACTTTTTTTGTAAATCTAAAATAATTTAAGGATAAATTTATAATTTAACTTTCGTAGAATTTTTATTATTCAATGACAGAAAAATGATATTTTTGAAAAAAAATAAAAATTTAAGGGCATTTTAGTCCAAAACGCCGGTAATGTTACAATACCTAAGGGAATGGAGGTAATGACATTCCCGGTAATATACCCAAAAAAATATACTATTAGTAATAAAACATTACCGGGAATGAGATTCTCGACCAACCAAACATGGGAATGTGGGATTCCCATCCCATGGGAATCCATGGGAATCTCACAATCCTTGAACCAAATACCCCCTTAGAGTTAGGGATCCTTTTTTTTTATAAGAAGTGGAGGCCTCGTTAAAAACCCCCTTCATGATTAAAGGAACACCTGTGTTCCTTTAACAATGGTAGAAGAAAAAGAGTGCCTCAAAATTCATTAATAAAAAAATGGTGCTAAACTAACAAAAGAGTATAGTGAACATTACCTCAGAAGATTTAAGCTTTTTCTCCATATCAGCAAGTTTGGCCTGATAAAGTTGAGAGAGAATGAGTGCGAGAGGTAGAGAGAGTTTTAGAGAAATCTCGAAAAAGTCCAACGTCTCCGATGAGGAATGGACTATGTTCATTGATAATCTTAGCAAGAGAGTTACGAGAGGTGGTTTAAGGGATTTTTTTAGTCCTTATGGTCAGATTATGAGAATTTTTATCCCACATTTTTTAGAGAAACCAAATTATAAGTCTTCAACCTTTGCATTTGTCCAATTTGCTGATGAAGAAAGTAGAAAGAAGGCAATTCAATATACTCATGGTAAGTGGATTGATGGGAGAAGGATTTTAGTAGGGATTGCTAAATATCAAAAGACTATGAGGAAGGAAGCTGCTGAAGGGAAGAGGTTGATGGGAAACAAGTCAGGTAAACAGGAGAAAACACAAACCAAGAAGAAAGTTGTATCGGTGAGAAGCCTGATGGATGAAAGATCTTATAAGGATGTTGTGAATAATGGCCTTAATGCGAGAAGAGAACAAGTTTCAAGGGAGAAACTGGAGGGTGTAAAACAGAATGCAAGTGGTATTAGGAACGTATGGGAGATACACATTCCGGGGAACCATTCGGAGTGGGTTAAGCGATCATTAACAGGGATAATGAAACATTCCTATGAACAAGATTCGATAAAGGAAGCTTTGAAGATCGAGGGAGTGGGAGTTGAGATATCGAAATGGGGTTATGCATAGAATGCTTGCATCATTACATTCAATACAATTGAGGAGCTTACATACGTATGGAAGAATAAGAAAGAAGAATTATGCTTATGTTTTGATTGGTTGGCTCCAGTTCTGAATGATGATGGAGTTCCATTGGCCCTTTGCCAAGTAAATATGTACGGAGTGCCTCTATTGTGCTGGAATGAGGCATTCATGGAAAAACTTACCGGGAAATGGGGAAAATTCATTTGTTTTAATGAAGATTCAAAGAGCATATTGGATTTATTATTGGTAAAAATACTGCTAAGAGTGGAAAGTCCATTCGATGTCCCTGATACGGTCACTATTGGTTCTTATGGCAGATCGTTCAAAGTGAAGTTATCCATGGGTTCTGTTTTGAAAAAACCAGAAGAAATTGTAGGGAAGACGGAGGAGAAATTTTCAAAAATTTTGCACAATGATTATGTCATGTCTGTGCAGGGGGATGGGCAGCGACCTACTCTGGCAGCAGCTACTAATCATGAGTTATCAGAGGAAGCCAGGCATAAAGTCTTATCTTGGCTGAATAATAAACAGAATAGTGGAGTGAATGGAGTTAGTAGGGGACAAGTCCCATCGAGTAAGTCAACTGAAGAAATTGCTAATTGTGGGCTGTCAGTTTTTATGGAAAATATGAGTAACCAGAACAGGAATCACGTGGGGCTGGGATTAAGGGAAACTTTTGAACCAGAGGATAAAGCCCAATCAGATGAAATTGGGGTTGATTTTTTACCAATAAGGAAAATTATCCCTACTGGGCCTGCATTTATTCCTAAGTGGGTTGGGGAGAAGAATGATACTGGTAGATTTATGTGCCAGCCCAATACCATTTCAGTTAATCATAGAGAAGTTGCAGTTACGTTGGTGAAAGAAAAGACAGGGGGAGAGAAAGAAATGTCAAACACTGAGCAGGATATTGATATGGATAAAGAGCATCATGTTGGCTTGAGAAGTCGACAGGAGAATGAAGAAGCTAATACACTGAATTCTAATGATTTTGAGAGAGAAACTCTCTGTCCAACAGAGGGCAGGTTCAAGAAAAATAAAAGGATAAAGGATGATAAACAGATTGGCCTGATTGAGGGTAGTTCTTCCAGCTCGTGTGTAAGGCAGAGAAATGTAGTGAATCAAGTTGGAACTAGTTCAGAGTTAATTATGGATGGTCAGTTCAAAAGAAAGGAGATTTGTTTGTCCTCTTCCGAAATTCTTGTTCAATGTCTTCATCGGGTAAAAAGCTTAAATAATCAGAGGAGACTAAAAATTGCTCCTCGACGTTCAGGTAGTGTGTGCTCAGAGAGGGAAGTGTCAATCAGTTTTTTTGATAGAGTTTATAGAAGGGTGTATAGAAGTATGGTCAGGGATTCTTTGGAAAAAGACAGATCATCCTCAAAGTCTTCACACTCTTCTGTTAAAGCTTTGAATGAAGCTATTGCTACTAGAGAAGTTTGCAACATGTTGGGGATTAATTTCAAAGGGGGGCAATATTTGTTAGAAGAGGAGATTTTGAAGATGGAAAGGAATGGGGCTAGGAAAGAAAGGGAGTAATTTAGTCTTCCTTTTTAGGGGTTTTAAGATTTAATATTCCAATGTCAAATTTTAAAATTATTTCATGGAACATAAGGGGTTTAGGGAGAAAGGAAAAAGTCAGAGCAGTAGCCTGTCTTGTAAATAGGGATAAACCAATTGTCTTATTTCTACAGGAGACAAAATTGAATCAATGTTTTAATGGGTTAAGAATGAGATTAGGGGGTAAGATGCTTCAAGGACAAAGTTTTTATCCGGCTGATGGGTTAGCAGGAGGGTTGATGTGTTTATGGAATGAAACTTTTTTTCAAGTTACAAGGGAAGAAAAGAACAGCAGATTTGTGGCAATCTCAGGAATGTTCAAGTTGTATAAGTTTGAGTGTGTATTAATTAATGTGTATGGCCCGTCAGTGGAGGATGAAAAAGAGTTCTTTAGGGAGCTGTTGAATTTTGTTACAAATTTAAATATACCAATATGCATAGGGGGTGATTTGAATGCCTATCTTAATCCATCTGAGAAATATGGAGTTACACAGAATTGGCATGCTCTAGATCTGCTCAGATCCTTTATTCAACAAACAAACCTCATTGATCTCCCTTTATCAAGAGGTATGTACACTTGATGCAACAATAGAGAGTCGCCTACATGGGTAAGACTGGATCGGTTTCTGGTTAGTAGCAATTTTTTACAGAGGTTCCCTAAATTGGTACAACGAATTCTACCCAAATCACTCTCTGATCATAACCCTATTGTGCTGGAAGAAGATAGGCAAAACTGGGGTCCCAAACCTTTTAGATTTTTCAACAATCTATTAAAAGAAGAAGGTTTTGATGGTTTGGTTGAAAACTCCTTGGCTGATTTGAAGAAGAAGAAGGGAGGTAGGGGAATTTTTAATTTATTAAAAGGTACTAAAATGAAAATAAGGAGCTGGTCCAGCAGTAAATATATGGGGATCTCAGAGACTATTTCAAAAATTGATTCCAAAATAAATGAGTTGGAATTGAAATCACAAGGTGCTGCCTTTTCTCCTCAAGATAGAGACCAGTTAGTGTTGCTCAGAAGTGAATTATGGAGACTGCACAGAATAGAGGAGAGCATTTGGCACCAGAAATCTAGAGTGAGGTGGATCAAAGAGGGAGATAAGAATACGAGGTATTTTCATTTAAGTGCCTTGAACAGAAACAGATTAAATGCTTTGAAGGTGGATGGTGAAGAATTTACAGACACAATTCAGATTAAGGCTCATGTCTTGGATTATTTCAAAAAAGCTTATAATACGATTAATACGCTGGAAGTGGGAGTGTAGATGCTCGGTTTTGTCCGGAGGCTTCGTATCTAGTACACGATATAAATTTGGACCAGGGAAAGCCCAAATCAGCCCAAACAACATGTTATCCTAGCTTACAGTCCACGTGAGTTCCTTCAAAACATAAATGAATATCCAGCAGGAATGTGAGAAGCAGTTTTTGATCGTGGGTGAGATACTAAACTGTAAATGGAGTGGGGTCGGTTTTTATTGAAAAAAACCGCCAGAAATGAAATGGAGAATAAAAGAGGGGGATTTTTGGAACAAGGGATCGGCAACCATTTCGAGGGGGGAGATTATCAACAACAAGGGTCTCGTTTGTGTAGAAAAAAACAGAGTAAGCAAAAGGGGATTTCCACTCACTTTTCGAATGACGAATGGAAAGAATATGTAGCATGATTTCACCATTGTATTCAAAAACTGAGAAAGCAATAGAGATACCAGTTGAGATTCAAGGTTTCTTTTGATTGTTTTCGTT